CACCCCCTTCTTCCTTTACTCTTCCTTCCATACAGGCTCCCTTCCCTCGCTCTGCACCCTACCTCCTCCCCATCCCCTTGGCCACTGCGACCTCTTCTACCGCAGCTCCCGTGCAGCCGACCGCTGTTTCCCCCGCCGCTCCACCATGCGGCCCGGGCGTACAGTCAGTTGCGCCCCCTCCTCCAGGACCTGCGTCGACTTATTCAACTGTAGCGCAGTCCCCTGCTTCCCGTTCTCCTCGCCGCCAAAACGGTGGCGCACCACTCGTCCGCTTGACGGACATTGCCTTGTATGACGGTACAGGCATACGCGTATCTCGGTGGCTACAGTCTTCCACCTGCGCGCTCCAGCTCATGGGTGCCGCATCCGACACGTGGGTGGCTCACCTTTACACGTGCCTGCGTGGCGGTCCTTCCGACGCCTGGGAGGATTTCTACGCTTACTCCGTTCGTGCGGGTCGGACTCCGACCTTCATGGATTTTCAGGCGTTCCTCGAGGATCGCTTCGGAGCCCGATATGACGTGACTGATGCCTTCGAGCGTGTCGTCACTACACGCTGGTCCGGCTCTGGTGGCGCTGCCGGCCTGGATCGCCACATCCAGGTCTTTCAGGACGCCCGCCTCATTTGTGACATGACATTCCTCCCCGAGGTAGCCCTTATCGATCGTTTATTGGTCAGCCTCCCGCTCGAGTACCGCTCCGAGCTATGGCGGTATGAGTTCACATCGGCCTCGCAGGCTTATGAGGCCGCCAGAGACCGTCACTGGATGCGAGCCCGTCTTCACCCCGCCTCCTTCTCTCAGCCTCAGCGCACGGGCTACGCCTCCTCCTCCTCTCACGACACTTTCCAGCGCTGTTCCCCTTTTCGCGGTCGCCCCCGCCGTTCCACGCATCAGGGCCGCCACTTCTCGCGCCGCTTCAGCGTGCTCGAGTATGGTGAGCAGGACGCTGGTGCCCCGCTGTCACCAAAGGGTGACCATAGCACCGACTTCGACCTCGGCGAGGCCGTCCACCACCACCTGGAGGACCCTACTCTCCCTATGGCGGAGCGCCTCCAGCTTATCCTCTCCAACCTTTCCCGGGCACGCAACCGCCCTGGTCACACTGGCGCGTCGCCCCCCGAGGTCCCTCAGCAGGACCTCCCTCAGGGCTTTGTCCCTCCTTGCGGTGTCCTTTCCGCAGAGGAGCCCGCGGCTATTTTGGGCCGGCATGAGTGTTTGCATTGCCGCCTAGACGGTCATACCTCCTCGCGGTGCCCTTACACTACCGCCCTCGACCGCTACTACGCTGACCTTTCCCGCTAGCATCGTTCTCAGTCCCCCCCCGACGCCTCCTAGCCACGGTGTAGTGTACACCTGCACCCTCCTCAGTAGTGGGTTTTCCGACATCTCCGTCGCGATTCGCCCCTCTCGCTACTGGAGCTGAGGTATCGCAGGACTCGACAGAGTGTACTCAGCCCTCTGTCGCAGTACCGTCTGCGCCTCCGCAGACCACCGTCTCCTCTCCTTCCCCGCCGCGACTACCGACGCGTCGAGCCATTCGCTCAACCCGTTACAGCGAGCAGCTCGCTACTCGCGAGGACGTTGTGTCCTCTCTTCTGGATTTGAGCATGCTCCAGGCTCGTCAGGAGCGACTCACCCTCCATGTCGCTGCACTGCGTCGCCTTCTCGCCATCCTCTCTGACCCTGATCGCACCCTCCCGATCCTCCCGGTACGACTCGGGACCTCCAAGAGGGTGTACTCAGCGCTGTAGGATTCCGGTTCTCAGGGCGACTTCATTCACCCACTCATGGTGAAAGAAGAAACCCGCTTACCCACGACAGGGTCTCCGACTCCCATCTCCGTTACCCTAGGGGATGACAAGACCCAGCGCTTCTTCAATCAGACGGTCACCGACCTCCCCTTCTTCATCACTCTCGAGCCGACTGATCGTCCCCCGGCGTATTGTCGCCACCGCTCCTCTGCACATTTCGATGTGATGGAGACGGGGTACGACTTCATTCTTGGCACTCCGTGGTCTCGTCGGTTCCGCAGCACCGAGGCCTATTGGGCGACCAACACTCTCGTTCTCAAAACGAAGTGTGGACAAATATAGGTACCACTGCGATACCACGCCCCGATCCTCCTCCCCTGGAGCCTTCTGTGCCCACACCATCTCCTTCTATCACTGTCACCTCGCCTCGGCAGTTCGCCCACTTCATCCGACAGGACGACGTCACCTTCTTTATGGTGAACGTGACGGATCTCTTACACTATGATCCACCCTGTCCCGACGCCGAGCTCATCCCTCTGGAGCCAGATCCTCGTTCTATCTCTGTGACTCCCATCTCTACTTCCGTCCCTCCGCCGTCCGTCGAGTCCACCCCTCCGTCGCACGCTGACGCTGAGGAACTCGCACGATATACGGCTGACCTGGAACCCACAGTTCGTGACCTCATTCGAGAGTACCACGACGTTTTTCCATCGCCGTTCTCGTACGCTGGCATCCCACCGATGCGCGACGTCGAGCACTCCATCCAGCTTGTGCCTGACTATCGTGTTCACCACCAGGCACCCTACAGATTCTCGATCCCCGAGGCCACCGAACTCAAGCGTCAGCTTGAGCAGGGTTGTCACCTAGGGACCCTCGGGGGCAAAGCTGGGGCGGAGATTTCACCCCCAGACCCCCTCCCACGGGGGCGCCGACCCCCGGACCCCGCTGAAGACCCCCGCGCCCGCCCGACCCCTGGCACCCCCACTGGACCTCGGCCCCGGCACCCAGCACCCCGGCCCCGGCCTCGGGACCCCCGCCAACCCTGGCCCCGGACCCCCGGTCCCTGCACCCTCCCGGCTCCGGCACCGACGCCCCGCACCCCCGGTCCCCGCACCCCCCCCCCCCCCCCCCCCCCCCCCCCCCCCTCTCCCCGCCTTCCCCCCTCCAAGCCCCCGTCGGCACCCCGCATTTTTTTTTTTTTTGTTCGGGGTCCAGAACCCCTAATAAATAAATCACCAACACCCCAAAGTAAAAAAAAAGTTGGGAAGGGCTGGCTGAGGTAGCCAATGGTGCCCCTCCCACATGAAAAAAAATTGAGAATACGAATTCCTTGTTGAATTGTATTTTTCCCGAAGGACCCCAGTGCATCTGCACAGATTCCAATGTCTAAAGAGACGTTCGGCAAGTATCGCGTGCCAATGGAGCAGGCCAGCAATATATGTTCTGGATCCGAAGTCCGGTCTGCTTGCCCACTGTCTCCAGCAGTTACGGGTTACACGTTACAACTATTCACTACCGTAGCTCTCTCTTTCTTTTGTTCCGTTTTCTACGAGCAGTGGCCCTAAGGGCCTTGCTCCACCCCTCACTACTTGCACGAAAGACAAAACATATGGCAGCGTATGAGCCCATGTTCTAGCAGAAGATTCATTCCTCTGTTTTTTTTTTTTGTTTCCTTCTCCTTCGAGCAGTGGCCCTGAGGGCCTTGCCCCAAGGAAAAGGAAACAAAAAAAAAAAGAGGAATGAATCTTCTGCTAGAACATGGACTCATACGCTGGGCCTTGCCTGGCTAAGATCAAGTGTAATATCTGTTCTGATCAGTTTAATATCTGATCCGTGGTCCATCGGACCACACTAAAAA